GACATTATAGGTGTCAATCGTTTCCTGATACTGTTACGAATGTTACACTTTTCAGACAAAACCAGGCCTGACAGAACCGACAGGTTATATAAGATCAGAAATGTGTTTATGTACATGAAACAAAAGTGCTGCATGTATTTTTATCCCTTCAGGAAGCTTGTTATTGATTTTATTCAAAGGAAGACTCTCATTCAAGCAATATATACCAAGCAAGAGGAAACGCTTTGGTATAAAGTTATTTGTACTGTGTGATTGCAGAAGTGGTCTAGTTTTGGATATCATTGTGTACACTGGCAGTAATACTTTGAGAGATACCATGAAGTTATTGGGTATCTCTGGTGATGTGGTTAGAACAATGATGGAACCATATCTTGGTAAGGGGCATATGTTATTTACTGATAACTGGTACACAAGCCCCTTACTCAGTGATTTCTTGCGAGTGAACTTGACAGACGTGTGTGGCACAGTGCGTGGTAATCATAAACATATGCCAAGATTCAACGCTGGCACTCGCAGAGGTGAGGTGCAAGCCTTTGCTGCCAATGACATCATGGCATTTCGGTGGCATGACAAACGTGATGTCACATTGTTGACATCAGTTCACCCAAATGAAATGGCACACAATGGCAGGCACAACAGAGAGACCAATGAACCCATTCTAAAGCCTGCAGCTGTCATGGACTACAACCTCAATATGCACTTAGTGTTTAAATGTGACATGCAGATTGGGTTTGCAGATTGTGTATGCAAGAGTTATAAGTGATATATAAAACTTTTTTTCCATCTTGTTGATATCTCCATGCTAAATGCTTATAACATATACATGTTGAAGACCAACAAAACACCAAAATATGGTGAATTTTGTTTGTTAGTAATCAGACAAATAATCGCAAAGTACCAAGGAGCAACACCTGCAATAGACCAGCGCCCACGAAATTACCAACACACGCCATCTCGTTTCAGGCCTGGTGATCACTACCCCATACAACTGCTTTCTACTGCTGCCAAGAAAAATGCTCAAAAGAGGTGTTTTGTATGTACACATACTACAAAATGCCCACGAACACGCAGAAACACTCGTTTTATGTGTGAGGAGTGTCAAGTGCCACTCTGCATATACCCATGTTCCAAAGAGTTCCACAAGCTGCAGCAGTTCTAGGAACGTGTTCAATGACTGTACATATGTATATATATTATGGAACAATAGTAATAAACATTGTTTTGTATTGTTTGTTTGTGTAAACAAAGTGTATACACAAACTAATAGTGATAATGTTTGTTCAGTTATTGTGTTGTAAACAATGAGTGTATATTTGAACAATGCACCTTACATTGGTCTCACAGGCCACATAAGTTACTTGGAAAAGAAAAATATTGAAAAAATGCAAGAAACTTTTGAATTAGAGTAAATAAAAGAATACCGGGTGGGCGGCAGTCGCCGCTGTTGCCGTACGCACCTCACTTTCTGCAAACTTTGCGGCTCTTTATCTCGGTAAGTACTGATGGCAAAAATTTTTCTTGGCTTAAAACACTCAGAAAAAATAATCCTAACATTTTCATAAGAAAAAATAATTTTTTTTTTTTGAATATTTTGCGACATAGAATGACAGTACACAAATAACCCGGGTTATTTGTGTATTGTTCCAGTCACGGTATTGTGCCTTTTTCAGAAAGGGGCCTGCGACAGTCAAAGGGTTAATTTTCAAGATTATATAAATGTTAGGCTTCTCCAAAGAGGTTCTTTGATGCTGGTGAGGGACTCTAAATTCATAGAATTAGCTTTGTCTTTCCCTTCCTTGGATTGAACCTGTTGTTTCCTATTCTCCAGGCACTGTATGATCCCTATGGGTTTAGCACTAACCCTGAATAATAATAATAATAATAATAATAATAATGATAAATATTATTATTATAAAACTTGGATTTTGACTACTCATTGTCCATGGAAAGATAGCTAGAGAAAAAATGCTTATGAATGCATTTCCTTTGGGATATCCTGGCTTGGTGGTAAACAGCTAGTTTAAATGTTTTCTTATTTATGTTGTATTCTAGTTATTGAATAGGCTTTAAGGCAGGATTGGTCTTTCGTCTGAGTTATTATATACATGTATGTGAGATGTGCAGTATGTCTTTTTCTTGGTTATTTTTTGTAAGGTACTACCGTCCTACCAAGTGAGTGTAAAACGAAAGCCTGTGTTTGTTTAACATGATTGTAGGATTGCTGGTGTCTTTTTTCTGTCTCATAAACATGCAAGATTTCAGGTATGTCTTACTACTACTCCTTACAGATATTACTGTTAGTCAGTATTTATGATATGCTTTAGTCATTATGTACTGTAATATAAAAAAATTATTCATTTCTGTTAAGGAATATTAAAATAGAGTAATAGGTAAAGGCAAATGTTTAAATCAGTTGGTAGATAGGTGGATAATAAGATAGAAAATAAAGCAGAACTTCGAATAAGTTACAAGAGTTATTTCTACTGTTGAGTGATGCCCTTGACTAACTATGTTTTCAGTTCTGTATTGGGCATTTCCTACCAGGGCATTGTGACCCAAATATACCATTTGCTCTGTCTGCCTTTCCAAAAGGACACAGACTTCATGAATCCATTGATGACTAACTGAACTGAAATAGCCCCACACTCAGGGCAAAGGGCATTAACCCCTTAATTGTCCAAACATAGCTCTATGTTCTTACCACTAGCGCTCCAAATGTAGATGTACATTTTATTTTTCCTGCTTCCAAATTTGGGACGATTGGCCTGAGATGCCTGGTCAGTATAGAATGGGTCTTAACACTCGGTGTACGCAGTATTAAAAAATCTGGAACCACTTAGTACCTTGTGGGAGCACCAGTTCAACTGAGCGCCAGCTAGAGTAAAGAGCGTGGCAAACACCGGGGATTCACTGATGTCATGTGTATTAACACTCCCGTTTAAAGAAGAAAGTGATGTTGACCCTGAGTTTAGTGACTTTGAGATGGATTTGGCCACAAATGGTCGAGGAAATATCAAAAACCTTGATAATAACCTATGTGCAACATTTGTGCAGCATTCTTTCAGTTTTGATACCACTGATAGTGTCATCCTGCCAGAATGTCTGATAACCTATGCCCTAAGTAAAGAGAAACAATTCTGGAACATGTGTAATACGTGTTTGGAAGGCCGGCCGGCTGGCTGGCTGGCTGATTTTGACTGTTTCTATCTCCATCTGTCTGTATCTATCACTGCCTGTCTCTGTATCTCTGTCTGTTTGTCTCTACCTTACAGGTACACATAAATAGTTATTATACATAGTGTAAATTACCTAGGATAACCCAAAAATCCAGACAAAGTGCTATACTGTACTGTGCTTGTAGATACATATAAGGCGTAATAAGCATGACTGGCAAATAATACACATTTTCACTTGTTCAAGAATCAGACGTGACGACTCTGCATCATGTGTAATACCTGTTAGTTCATGAGTGGCTCTCTGAGACAGAAAGAGAGACAAGCAGAGAACAGGAAGACAGATACACAGGTAGATAGAAAGGCAGATAAGCAGAGACAGAGATAAAGAGACATAGACAAACAGATAGACAGACAGACAGACAAACAGATAGACAGACAAACAGATAAATAGACAGACAAATAGATAGACATGGTTATATGTAACAGTGAAAGCAAACAAAGCCAAGGCAGTGCACTCAGCTGCTGCACTGTCAGCAATGGATTGACACTCATCTTACACAGTGCTGCTTCAAGGAGTTTCATATATACTTTAGCATGTCTAAAACATTGCTGGGACCTATAAATACTATGTATATATTTCTTGACAATAGTAGGTGACTAAGGCAAGTGAAAATGTTCACCTGTCAGTGTGTTTGTGACTATTTGAGTACTACTACAAAGTGTAATTATTAGAACATAAAAATTATATACGTAAATAAAAAAAAAACGAGAAAAGAGATATATCGGCAAGTGACAGGACTCCATGTTGCCATCAGGTGAGCATCCAGTGCCAACTTCGCGGTCTTATATCTCGGTTAGTACTAATCCTAATTTTTTTTTTTTTGGTCTTATTAAACACAGAAAATTGCCTTCTTTAATTTAATCCTTAAACTGTTCAAACGTAGATCTATGTTCGCATGCGTAGCTCTCCAAACGTAGATCTATGTTCGATTTTACATTGTTTCTTATGTAAAAAATGTAGATCTACGTTCGGAGCGCTGCGAGTGCAAATGTAGATCTACGTTTGGATAGTTTAAAGGTTAAAAAAAACTATTTTTTTTTTTTCAAAATATTCGGAGTGCTGGGCGAGACAACGTAGATCTACATTTGGACAGTTAACAGGTTTAAGATTTGGTTGCTATCTGCCTGGATTCTTGCGGTGTCTTCAATGGAGGGCACTGTCATGCAAATTCAGGTGTCATCTGCAAAGGAAGACATGACTCTGTGGCTTATATCCCTGTTTATGTCTGATATGAGGATGAGGAACAAGATGGGAGCAAGTACTGTGCCTTGTGGAACAGAGCTTTTTACTGTAGTCGCCTCAGACTTTACTCTGTTGACTACTACTCTTTGTGTTCTGTTTGTTAGGAAATTATAGATCCATCTTACAACTTTTCCTGTTATTCCTTTATCACACATATTGTGTGCTATTACACCATGGTCACACTTGTCAGAGGCTTTTGCAAAGTCTGTATATTACATCTACATTTTGTTTGTCTTCTAGAGCATTCAGGACCTTGTCATAGTGGTCCAGTAGTTGGGACAGACAGGAGCAACCTGCTCTAGACCCATGCCACCCTGGGTTGTGTAACTGATGGATATCTAAATGGGTGGCGATCTTGCTTCTTAGAACCCTTTCAAAGATTTTTATGATCTCTTACACTCCTCTTTTTTTTTTTCTAAGATACAGTATTTTCCTTTATATCTCACTCTCCATTTTCCACTGTGTGCATGAATAAAAATAATTATTTAGCATGGTAAGTTTCAAATTTTCCTTTTAAACAGGTGCAGGGATGCATTGACCTGCGTTATCTTGTTCTCAAGTATCACAAAAGTGAAGCATCTAGTACAGACAACACACCAGAAGCAGAAGAGGTTCTTGGAGGCATGGGGCTGAATGCACTTTCTCAAACTTATCTTGGTCGCACCTTGGACAAAAATTGGAGAGTGAGAACGGGTGACTGGGAAGCTGATGCCCTAAGCAAGAGACAGGTACATATAGCATTTATCTTATTGTCATCATTCTGCGTGGGGAAGTGGACAAGAATCTTTCCATCATTAAGTCATGCGTGTCATAAGAGGTGACTAAAATGCTGGGAGCAAGGGGCTAGTAACCCCTTCTGTATAAATTACTAAATTTAAAAAGGAAGAAAACATTCATTTTTTTTTTCATGTCACCCTGTCTTGGTGGGAGACAGCCAATGTGTTAAAAATATATATCATCATGTAGGTACAGGTCGACCATCACTAATCCGGCAGTCAGTAATCCGGTTCCATCAGTAATCTGGTACTAATTTGGGTTGGCATAATTTCAAATTTCCGGGATCACCACACCAACCTGTCGCTACTGCTTAGTGGCGCTACTTGCTGCATGTCATTCAAATTTCTTTTTCTCCATTTATTGTTATAACCTGCTTAGTTTCAGCCCTAGCCATGGTTCCAGCGAATGAAAGAAATACTTCTTGTTGTGTAAAGCAAATACACTGTACTTTATCCATAAAAGTGGCTTTGAAGACACTGTCGGTCGCCATGAGCTCAGCTCACTCGGATAAGCTGTGACCGGTAAATTTGGGCCTACATATGAGAGAATAGGTCTGTGTGGTAAGTGTGCACTATACAAAAAAAAAAAATCCTGCAGGTGCTTTTGGTATAAAACAATGACTTTGCAGTGTATTTTCGTACAATTTGTATGGTTGTATTCTCGATTTTTGGTCTCATTTGATAGAATGGAAGATATATTACACAAATAGATATAATTTTGATTGGTTTCATGCCAGAAAGTACCTTAAAATTGAGCTCAAAGTAGTGAAAATCTTCGATATTTGCTGATGTTCAAGAGTAAACAAATGATGTCACCATCCAATACTTGTCCATCTGGCTGGTCTAATACACAGTCATGAATGGGTTGACATTATTTATACAAATATTACAATAATGCAGTAGTCTGCATAACAGTAAATAATTTTTTTGTGTGAATAAAAATTCAAAATGGAAACCAAGTGTAATATAAGAGGGGCCTGGAAACATGACTGATGAACAGAGAAAATGCTGTTTTAGAGCTAGGAATGTCTGCATTGTTTATTCTGGACCCTATTTTGAAATTGGCATCTCTTGAAATTTGTGTAAAATTGCCCAAATTACCAATTTCTGACCACGAAGACTTCTGCGTCAGCCTTCGTCGCCTGTGTATCATTGACAAATTTCCACCGTTCTCTCTGGGACGCTTGTCCTCATCTATTTTGCCCTCCGGGCACTCTACAGGAGGGGCACCTGTACATCGGCTTACTTTAGCCAGCTCCATTGTTTCTGCTCTGCGGAAAATTCTTTAATGGTCTTTCGTGGGAAGCCGGTTACTGAACTCAGGTGGGAGTGTGGGCGTCTCACTCTGCTGAGGCTTGGCAAGGGCGTCAACCAGATCTAATTGGAAACTTCAAGTTTCTATCTCTATTTACAAAGGAACTTTTGTTCCTTTTTCTTTCATCGTCCAGCCTTGGGCAACAAATCTTCCTCGTACCATCGAGAAACAGGGCTCGATACGGCTTATGCTGTCAGTGGCCCCTGATAAACTCAACAACAACAACAACAAAAACAATTTCTGACCACTTTATTGGGTAGTTGAAATAGGTAAATGGGCGGCTTTTTGTACTCTAACGACAGAATAGAAGGAATACTAGCGAAATAGCTATGAGTTTGGTAGACTGGAACAATGGAATGGCTTAAAAATAGAGTGTAAACTGGGTGAAATCACCAGTGCATAAATATCGCTATTGGGTTAACCCTTTGACTGTTTCGGCCGTATATATATGTCTTACGAGCCAGTGTTTCGGACGTACATGTCTCATAAACACGCTAGATAACAGGGATATCTTGCTACTCCTACTTACACTTTGGTCACACTTCACAGACACGCACATGCATATATACAGTGGACCCCCGGTTAACGATATTTTTTCACTCCATAAGTATGTTCAGGTGGCAGTACTGACCGAATTTATTCCCATAAGGAATATTGTGAAGTAGATTAGTCCATTTCAGACCCCCAAACATACACGTACAAACGCACTTACATAAATACACTTACATACAGTGGACCCCCGCATAACGATTTTAATCCGTGCAAGAGGGGTAATTGTTATGCGAAATAATCGGTATGCGAATGAATTTTCCCCATAAGAAATAATGGAAATCAAATTAATCCGTGCAAGACACCCAAAAGTATGAAAAAAAAAATTTTACCACATGAAATATACATTTTCCCACACACAAAGAGAAGGATACATGCACAATAGTAGAGTAGTACATGCACAGTATATATTGTGCATGTACTAGTCTACTAAATGAAGAATAAATGACACTTACCTTTATTGAAGATGCAGCAATGACTGATGAGACACTGTGTCCTGGGAGTGCCTTTTCCTCCTGAGTACTGTAGGTCCTGTTTGGCATTTTCTTCCAGAACAGGCCTTATCACACTGTGTATGCCACTACGATTCTTAAATCTCTCAAACCAACCTTTGCTGGCTTTAAATTCACCAATATGAGCACTAGTTCCAGGCATTTTTCCCTGTTCACCTGGGTGTTAGTCGACTTGTGTGGGTTGCATCCTGGGAGACAAGATTAAGGACCCCAATGGAAATAAGTTACAGTCTTCGATGACACTGACTTTTTTGGGTTATCCTGGGTGGCAAATCCTCTGGGGTTAATTGTTTCTTGGTATTCTCAATAAGCCACACCAACAACGGTGCTACAGCAGCAGCAGCAGCAGCTGACGGTGGTACAGCAGCAACAGACGATGCTACAGCAGCAGCAGACGATGTACAGCAGCAGCAGCAGCTGACGGTGGTACAGCAGCAACAGACGATGCTACAGCAGCAGCAGACGATGCTACAGCAGCAGCAGACGATGCTACAGCAGCAGCAGCAGCTGACGGTGGTACAGCAGCAACAGACGATGCTACAGCAGCAGCAGACGATGCTACAGCAGCAGCAGCAGCTGACGGTGGTACAGCAGCAACAGACGATGCTACAGCAGCAGCAGACGATGCTACAGCAGCAGCAGATGATGCTACAGCAGCAGCAGCAGCTGACGGTGGTACAGCAGCAACAGACGATGCTACAGCAGCAGCAGACGATGCTACAGCAGCAGCAGCTGACGGTGGTACAGCAGCAACAGACGATGCTACAGCAGCAACAGACGATGTTACAGCAGCAGCAGACGATGCTACAGCAGCAGCAGCAGCTGACAGTGCAGCAGCAGCAGCAGCTGACAGTGCAGCAGCAGCAGCAGCTGTACCACCAATAGTAGCGATGGTTGATTGGGGTTTATTATACAACCTGGCCAGCTCGGAGACACGCACTCCACTTTCATACTTATCAATGATCTTTTTCTTCATCTCTATTGTAATTCTCACCCTTATTGCTGTAGGGTTGGCACTAGAAGCTTTCTTGGGGCCCATGGTCACTTATTTTCCAGAAAAAGCACCGAAAACACTGTAATAATACGAAATATTCCGATTGTATGCTTGGATGTTACCGCGGAGGCTGGCTGGTAAACAATGCCACCGGCGGAACATGTGAGCGTGGCTCAGGCCGCACATTGGACGCGTCTCGGACGAAAATCGGTGAGCGGGTTTTTAAGCGGTATGCGAGGCAAAATTTTTGCGATTAAAACAAGCGGTATGCGGATTAATCGCTATGTGATGCCATCGTTATGCGAGGGTCCACTGTAATTGGTCGCATTCGGAGGTAATCGTTATGCGGGGGTCCACTGTATATACATACATCTAGGTTTTTCTCCTTTTTCTAAATAGCTCTTGTTCTTTATTTCTTCTATTGTCCATGGGGAATTGGAAAAGAATCTTTCCTCCGTAAGCCATGCGTGTCGTATGAGGCGACTAAAATGCCAGGAGCAATGGGCTAGTAACCCCTTCTCCTGTAGACATTTACTAAAAAAGAGAAGAAGAAAAACTATAAAACTGGGATGCTTAAATGTGCGTGGATGTAGTGCGGATGACAAGAAACAGATGATTGCTGATGTTATGAATGAAAAGAAGTTGGATGTCCTGGCCCTAAGCGAAACAAAGCTGAAGGGGATAGGGGAGTTTAAGTGGGGGGAAATAAATGGGATTAAATCTGGAGTATCTGAGAGAGTTAGAGCAAAGGAAGGGGTAGCAGTAATGTTGAATGATCAGTTTATGGAAGGAGAAAAGAGAATATGAATGTTGTAAATTCAAGAATATGTGGATTAAAGTAAAGGTTGGATGCGAGAAGTGGGTCATAATAAGCGTGTATGCACCTGGAGAAGAGAGGAATGCAGAGAGAGAGAGAGATTTTGGGAGATGTTAAGTGAATGTATAGGAGCCTTTGAACCAAGTGAGAGAGTAATTGTGGTAGGGGACCTGAATGCTAAAGTAGGAGAAACTTTTAGATAGGGTGTGGTAGGTAAGTTTGGGGTGCCAGGTGTAAATGATAATGGGAGCCCCTTTTATTGAACTTTGTATAGAAAGGGGTTTAGTTATAGGTAATACATATTTTAAGAAAAAGAGGATAAATAAGTATACAAGATATGATGTAGGGCGAAATGACAGTAGTTTGTTGGATTATGTATTGGTAGATAAAAGACTGTTGAGCAGACTTCAGGATGTACATGTTTATAGAGGGGCCACAGATATATCAGATCACTTCTAGTTGTAGCTACACTGAGAGTAAAAGGTAGATGGGATACAAGGAGAATAGAAGCATCAGGAAGAGAGAGGTGAAGGTTTATAAACTAAAAGAGGAGGCAGTTAGGGTAAGATAAAACAGCTATTGGTGGATAGATGGGCTAATGAGAGCATAGGCAATGGGGTCGAAGAGGTATGGGGTAGGTTTAAAAATGTAGTGTTAGAGTGTTCAGCAGAAGTTTGTGGTTACAGGAAAGTGGGTGCGGGAGGGAAGAGGAGCAATTGGTGGAATGATGATGTAAAGAGAGTGGTAAGGGAGAAAAAGTTAGCA